CAAGAAAGATTTGAAATTTTCAAAAAATAATCGGTCAATCAGTTTTTGAGTTACCTATTCAAGCTACAAATATGCATTGAACTCTGATATTTGTTTATAGATATATTTTCTTTATTTAAAACGTTAAACGTGGTAATTTGATGTATGCTTTTATCTCATCTATCCGATTTAGATTTCTACTAATTATTTCTCCGATTACTATTATAATATGCAGAAAGCTGTAACCAACGGCAGTCATTTATAAACAAAAACATTTTTCGATCTCACCCTAAATCTTAAAATCTTTGTTTGAGCATCTATTCGGAATGGACGTATTGGGTTCAATTGTTAATCAAAACCACCCAGGGACTCACTCAAACACGCAAACAATTTCCTCGAAATCAGTCCAGCCGCTTAGGAGGAGCTCAGAATTTTAATATCTGCACAATTTAACCACAAAAATAGGACGAGCATGCTTAAAAAGTCACCTTGTACACAAAATATAAGGCCGCATCTAAATTATTGTGCTTACCATTGTCATCAAACAAAGCCTTTCAAAATAATATGATCCACAAAGAAAAGAAACGTTTCATATTATAAAGGTTAAATATAAAAATGCCGTCAGGATTTCATTACGTGGTCAAATTGTGTATACCTAACCCTCGAATAGGTCATAAATAAAGTTAATTTTTAATATTGCGTTAAAGATAATTCTCAACTCAATCCTCCGAGATTATTGGTTCACCTGGTGCATAAAAGAATAATACTCACTAATTAAAATAACCCGATTAAACGCTGTATCGTATTTTTTTTAGATAATTTCTCCCGCAAAATTCTGTTTTGGTTGGGTACTCTAGTCAGGCTTTCAAGTCTTAACCGTCGACATGTTATTATTATTCACGACGATTTCGCTTCTACTGCGTTTCAGTTGATAATGTCAACCTTCAATCTATTAATTAATAATGGATATATGTGCTATTGGAGATCAATGGCCAAGCTACTAACGGAGAATGCTCAGCTCTGGACGAGGCCGGCGCCGGACCAATCTGGAATCCACTTTAAAGTCAATTTTCCGTTCGATGAAAATACAAATTTAACTGCAAACAAAGATCAGACAAACGACGGGTTTGAGTCCTTAAAGTATTAAAATAATAATTATTGTTGTTCCTATATAATTAGTATAGTCACTTATAAAGAAAGTTATGTTGCAATATCTATCGGCTGTACACTCACTACGCCGTATAGATTAGGTTTAATGTCCGTTGATATTATTGATGTTAAATAATTAATAACATTTTTGATTTTCGATTGTTTTTATTTTGTTACCTATACTTACCTATCCATTTAGACCTAATAGTATTGACAATAATTACGACTCGGAGATACTTTTTTCTTACCAATGCAACAACCATTAAACCACGACTGTTTACTATACACGAGATTGAGCATTTTTGTTTTTGAATTTATTTGTGTTTTTTGTTTTGTTTTATATCCACGGTATTGTTATAATATGATTCGAAAAATCGTATTTAGCGCTGAAAGTGACAGACACGAGATTTGAATTAAACCACCGCCAATAATATTGTTGATGTTGTTTGCATTCAGTAGACAGTTGGTATCGTATTTACATTTAATATTTATTTCTATCGCGAAATGATATTCAAAATATTCACCTCGTATTACCTCCACTGACATTATACAGTGTGTATTGCCCGATTAGTGATGACCATCACTCATTTATCCTCAACATCGGAAAAAATTCTTGAAAGCAAGATTTTTAGTCGGATTTGGAGGACCGCGCAGTCGTGCGAGTGGGTACTTTTGCAAGATGTCTGCCTATTGCATCTTAAATATTATTATACACTCTCAATGTAGTTATAATAGATTGACATTTTATTTAGGGCACATATTATTTGAGGAGATCAAGGAAATCATGTTGAAAACATTTCGTCACAAGATAGTGCATCAAAAACGATTGGCCAACAATTAAAAATTCGTCAATAATCCTTACAACTGTCAAAGTACTTTTCATCAATTAAACGAATATATTTTTATGTACTTAACTAATTTTATTTTATTTATTGTACTGTAATTAAATTCCATTAAATTAAGCCGTAAAAATAAAAATTGTTTTTAAAATTGTAAACGTCAATCATTTAAACATAAAAGTGTACATCAATATAGGTTGTATAACTATTGTTTCCTGTAAGAATCGTTTTTATTTTATATCACTGACCACTGTAATACTATATTCAAAATAGCAGTTAGCCTTTACAGCCAGTTGAAAAATAAATAATTATTGTAATGTCGACGAGATGAACAAATCACGTCGCCTCTAGAAGTCTGACAATATGGGGGGACGCGCTTATTAAAAAACTCAAATACTATAAAACGCGTCAAGCCAATCAATTATTTTTCGATAAAATGAGTCTCGCTGTGTTCACAAAAGATTTACCCACCCACACTAAAGAAGGTACAACAAAATACGCGCACACCATGTTGTACGAGTATGGTGTTCCGGTCGTCTAGACGGTGCACTGTTACATCATTGTAATTTATGTAGTAAATGTTTTTGAACAGACTATTATCATCATCATTATTATTATTTGTTATTATTACTTATTATTGTTATTATTATTATTATTATTATTATTATTATTATTCGTCAACAGACCTAGTCGTTTTTATCAATCTATAGACCTCGCCATCGAAGTCACTCGGTCATCGGCGAGTAATTATTATTCATTTCTTCGAGCACTGCTTCAATTTTCCACGACGCATACATTATTTGTATTATTATGCGTTTAGATTGAACGAAAAGATGAATAAATAGAGCGAGAACGACATTTGATGAAATTAAAATTGACCCGACACTCGGATGTTGGTAAACAAATTACACTATGGTTTTCTACGAATATTTTATTCAATTTAATTATTTGCGAATAAGGATTATCACCTCCCTCCTTCCACTGCAGAACCGTTTTGCTGAAGGTCTCCAATAGTCGTCAAATTTATTGAAAAAATCACAAAGACCACACACGTTAATAGGTACCTACCCACTACTCTAGTGGTGTGTGGTCAGGACAAGCGAGATAATTGCCACTTACTCGCTTAAAAAAAAGAGAAAAATGAATTAATATAATATTATAATGCCAACTGACAATATTTCACTCTGAAATATAGGTTTTTCATTTTAGATATGATATACTCTAGAAGTCTAGAGGTACCCACTACAATGTATTTTAAAACTTCAAAAAAATAAATTATCAAATTATATTATTTTGTTACATAAGGTGTAACAGATAGACCTGACCAAGAAAAAACAATGATGCTACCTTAACGCAGGACAGGATTTTTAATATTATATAAGTAGTAAATAATTTAAGAAACATGCACTCATGTCAGCAAATTGTCTAAAATTTTATTTTGAAAAAAATTATTACGTTCTAAATGAATTTAGTTAAAAAAATATTGATATTCAAAAAAATTCTAAAAAATAAACCACTAGACTTAGATACATGTTTTTACCAAAAAAGTCGTTCTTATAATCAGATTTACCGACTGGTTATTTTGAACTTATCCGAAAAAAATTTAGTTGAATTTTAAATTTTTATATTCAGTAATAAAAAAAAAAAATAATAATTTTTTATATTGTATACAATATGTACTATGAATTATGTACTAAAATTGGTGGTAGAAACCAAATTTAACCACGTGGTAGGGCCAATCTAAGCACTGTAACATTTCGCGACACGACACCACACGACACGATGCAGTTTGAACCAATTTTATCACAGTGAACCTTGGTTAATTATAGTCAATATTCACTATCGTAATTGGCTGTGTGTGAACAACAATAACCATTTCTAATCATCTATGACCAAATACGTTTAAAAGACAAATAAACAGTTTTCAAAGTTTCGTTGAAATATTTAAAAAAAAATTTTTAAATTTTTTAATATTTAAATTGAAAAATTGCAGGTGAAATATTTCAGATTCATTGTCTGTGGTTTTACGCAGCAGTCGGAAGTTTAATTGAGAGATTAAAAATACTTTTATAAGCTAATTTTCCGGTACCTACTAAAATTTTTTTTTTTTTTTAAGAACAAGTACGAATTGAAATAATTGTATTTTGGACACAAAGCTTCAGTCACATTTAAGTTTTAATAATTGTAAATAGTTTTTATTCCTGGTGGTTAGTGTAAGTTTTCCTTTTAATTGGTTTACATATCAAACGGATTTTTTTTTTTTTTTTGGCGCATTACCTTTTCGAGAAGTTTTACATTCAGGAAGTATGGTCCCCTCGACATCCGGAAACGAGTTCCAAACCGACATATTCTCTGTTCTGTATACTTCGGAGGTTTTCGAAAAAAATAAAATAAAAAGGAAGACGGGACACGCTTACACGACGTTACGTTTGTTTTAAAATTAACATTTAAACCACGCACCTACCTCTACTCAACCGTAATGTACCTGCGTAGGTATACAACGGATCGTAAATAGTTCACGTGAATTATTTAGGACCGCCGGTAATGTAATTGTTATTTGTTTCGGTGCGCTCCGAAAACATAATTCGTATCATAATATACGCCTATAGCATTATCGTCTTGAATATGCATAGAATTTGAACAATGGAAGTCTGTACACAGAGACTGCCGGGTTTTTTTTTTAACTCGTTGCGTTTAAAAATGAAAAACACACACACACACGCACACACACACACACACACACACACACACACACACACACACACACACACACAAACAACCTGGATAATATTATGTCCGGTTCGGTACTTATAACGTTCTATAGGTGGGTATGTATATAAGGTGCAGATTAATGACAGTTTTTAATTAATCATACCGGCTGACGTCTTTTGGCATATAATATGTTTTTTTTTTGCCGGCCTCGGAAGCCTGCTCGAGCTTCATAAATTGGCTATGAAAAATAAAACAAAAATCTTTTCAGGTCAAAGGTTAGACGATGCCACCGGCATAATTAAACTACTGTTCGTACCTACTCTACATAGTTGTCAGTCACGGCGTTCGTACAATATGACGTTGTTGATGATGCGATCCTCAACACAGAGTCATAATTTTTGCGGACGAAGTAGCGAAAAAAAATCCTGTTATATATTGCCCGGACGATAATTGTATGTGAATTGATCAACAAGCGATACCTATCAATTATTAAAACATCAAACAGGACGGTTCATCGTTCATGCTAATCGCTTTTTTAATTTTTTTACTTCAATAATGCAGTTGCTCATGGAATTTTTAAATATTGGAATTTTTACATATTGGTAAGTACACTTTCTCAATGCCATACTTTCAAATTATTTAGATTTTTATAACACTTTCTTAAGGAGTTTCCACTGGGATTATATAAAGTTCTGTTTTTCAGATGAGAACCCTCTCCCCCATCATTTCTACTGTAAACATTAAATTATTAAGTTGATAACTTTTTTGAAAATGTTGATGCCTGTTTCTAATTCAAAATTCGAACGAGTAGTTTCCAATGATGCTTTTGGAAGACTAAAATACGTAAACGGTAACATTATATTTATGATGAAAAAAAAAATGTATTTTATTACAATACATTTTATCACCCAAAGAAAATGTTGACTAAATCCTGAAAATCATGAAGTGTAGACAAATGGTTAGCCAGTTTCATGAAATTGTTAGTTTTTCGCGAAAACGTTAGTCGTCTCACTCAGTGGTTACGACGTGTAGTAGTACACTTATACTTATACCTACGTAGACTTATTATAAATATTTACTTACAGACTTATTGTTTCGACATTTTCGTCGTTTTCGGACATACATTTTGAAGCCTTTCGTCGGAAATAGAGTAGTCTTTCAGTCATCAGCTACTGGATACTGTCTTGGAGTAGAGTGAAATGTATCAATATTTTCAAAACTATAATTTATAGGTGGTGGATACGGTAAAAATTATTGGTTACATTAAACAGACAAATGCATTAGTAGTGGTGATTATACGTTATTATGCCAAATACTTACAATAATAATTACGTTTTAAAATTTCATGCGATTTATTGTCTTGAAATATTTATTTATGTGTGAAAAAAAAAATAGTTTATTATATCTAAAAATGTACAGTTATAAACCTAAAGCAAGATAAGATGTTAACGTGTTAACGAGTTGGTTTATTGTATGAAAAAAAAAACAGAAAATATTATGGCACATGCTTAAATTATAGTGAAGAAGTTGTTTAAACAATCGGTAAAATAAAAAATGTAAGCATAATACAGAATTTCAACTCTTAAGTTATTATAACTCAAAAGCTACTCGACATCATAACATATTTTAAAACTAGTATACAAATAATTGATGTTTCTTATTTAGGACTTATTGATTAAGATATTTAATAATACGGTAAATTGTTCAGAATTCAAGATTATATTATGATTAAACATTTATAATTTATAAACTATAAATTATTGTAGAGCTAGTGTCATAACTTTATAAGATTATACTTTTTATCATATTTAATAGTATATCAAGTAGTCAAGCTTTATCACTCAATTACTTTATTGTATATACGATTGTTGATTTTTAATCACAAACAATAATTATTGTTTTTCTGATATAATTTATATATTTTAATACCAATATAACATGTTTTAAATTAGTTAAATAGTTGTTCTATTTATAACCATTAACATATTATATTGATTTGTAAACTTTACTTGATAACCGATAGGTTTTTTTATCGATGTTTTCTGTATGTAATCATATATTACTATTTAATATTAATAATCTATAGTCAAAAGTGTTATACAAAGGAAAAAAGTATTTTTCATTATTATATTGAAATATTTCAAGGAGAGCGCAATTTTCAATTTTGAAATATTCCAAGTGAAACATTTAAAATTCATAAACATGTTGATAAGCGATAATACAATTATCGTTCAATGGTTTTCATTGTTCATAAATTAAAACATTACGAACTAAGTTTATATTACTACGTTATTTATTACAAGCTACAATTAAGACATTTAGATATAATTAGAAAATACATACATTTTATTGAACAGGATTAGATGAGTTCTTGGTAATCATGACAAATAGTGTACATTTAATAAATACATTTTGATGTCATTTGAATTCGTGAGGGGGCCAACGAAATTTTAGAGTGACATTATTCCCCCCTAGAGTTCACCTGTATTCAACACTACCGTTTTTTTAGAACAGAATAGACATAGACGCGTTCTGACGTAATGACGTATTCACTTGAGTGTTACTCTGATAACAATTATTTTGATTATATATTCGAATTCCATTTCAAATGAGTTTTATTCTGTTCAGAAAAATAGAAAAAAAATGTATCTCGAATGATCGAGAAATGACCAAACAAAGTGAAACATGTTTTCAAAACTATTATCCGGTTAATACTCGTGTCAGTAAGTACGCCACTTGGTACTCTTATTAGTGTATTTTCCTCCAAAAAAACGACTCTTTATTAAATTAAATTCAAATCGTATTACCAATAGATGTGCTTAAAAGTGATTCAAAACAATCATATATAAGCTGGAAAAAAATAAGATTCTATCGTGCGCTTTAGACAGTGTATATATACCGCGGTAACGCATTTACTCCAACAAAGGTACACAATATCGACTTTAGGATTGAGTTTGAGCCTCGGCGAATAGGATATAATAATAATAATAATAATAATAATAATAATAATATATCAATCGAATATTAACCTCCACCTGCAGATAGAATTTTAGAGCACGTTTATTATTATAGATGACCGAATTCGTCGAGTCAGCGTAATGGGCTAATGATTTGTAATGAAAGCTCTGATGTATGTACTATAATAATGTAATGGATGAAACTAATCGGAGACGGAAAATTATTTCCGTTTCGTTTACACTACTCGAATACAATTCGTTATAACGACGTTAACGGCATCATTAACCGTGCACTGAGGTTTCAACTTTTTACGGCGAGAGGGGGGGGCGGGGTGGCTTCAAAAATGTTGTTGATTGTAACATTTTTTAGATGTTTGATATTAGACGATTGTTATTTATTTATTTTTATACTTAACGTCTTCGAATGGACATCATAAAATTGAATTATAATATATTTTGGAAATAAGATTTCAATGTATTTAGTTACCATACCTTTTTTGGGGATTCTGGGTGGCGGGTCCGTACCTCTGGACCTCCACCCCCTCTTGTAAATACGCCACTCCACACAGCGGACGTATCTAGATTGACAATTTCTTGTGACCATTCGAAGTCACTGCAGTAATTACTGTATAGTATTAAGTATTTTCGTTTGTAATATAAAATCATCGACACAAAACACGAATCTAATAATGGATTGTATTTTGTTGTTCGTGCCTAATAATATTTAATCAAGAGATCTCTTTCTAAATAAAATCTCAAACTGTTTAAAAACGACTTTTTGCTAATGTGTAGTCGACAAGACTAGTTTTCGTATAATTCATTAATAACGGGTTAAGATCGCACGAAAACGTCGGGACCGATCGACAATTCGCCAAATTCGTATGACGACCTTCCGGCGGTCGTCTGTCACTTTGGACCAAGTCGCCAATCATGAGCCGAGACCCGAAAAGACGGATCGTTGTGGATTTGTGCGTTTATATTCCTGGGTACCCGAGAAAACAAATATTAACAATTATAATAATAATTAAAAACACATGGCACGATGTTTAAATACGATTAAAAAAATGTGTGAATTAATTTGGTGCCGAGTAACCCGAGACGGACGGGCTTAGATTTTAACCGACGATAGGGGTACTCCAAAATGTCGATGAAGAAACAAATTAATTGTTAATATATTGTTACCTAAGTGGAGTGTCTCCGTAAGCGGAAAAGTAAGAGAAAAAAGCGATGACGGAATTCGTTCTTCGGGGTAATTATTGGTGCAGAAGTCCGGTAATATAAATTATTATTATTATTTGAGAGGTCGAAATCCAAAACATACTTATGCTATTTCCGAATTACTGATTTTTCAGGAGAATCGATTTTCTGTATCTCCTTATCCATAACCAATATCAGTTAACTAAAGCTCAATAAACGCTTAATGAGTTATATACAGTATATTTTTAAATAATATATTTTTAAGTATAAACATTATTTTTTGGATTTTCAAAATGTACAATAATCCAAACCTTACCGTTTCCATTAATTTAATGGCAACAGTACCATTTTGTTAACATTCGCTTAGGATTATTCTCTTACATTTCTTGCTTTCTTTATTTAAATAATGAAAACCATCGGGTTAGATTATTTTTAAATGGCCAGCTTGTATAGTCTAAATACATAGTTGACTAATAGAAAACTAATATAATATTAATGTTAATCTCACATTACCTGCGGTACTATAAATATAATAATTATATTTTATTAATTTATTATAACATAACAATACTATAAAATATAAAGAATAGTTTACGGCATTGCCGAGTTTAAGACTATATTATTATAGTAAACATTAAAAAAAAAACAACAACAACTTAAGACCAATTAACAGTCGTGTTAATAGCAATGTAATAATGAGAGCAAGTGCCCAACAAACTATGACTTCACCGTGGCGGTCATAATGAAACATTCGAGGGAACATCCTACATTACCAATAAAAACTGTCCATTTTGAAATTAAGGTATTTTTTAAAAATGGTTTAATAATATATTATTTACATTCAAAGTGATTCAAATGTGCCCAATTATGTATATATTTTAAATTCAATTTCAAACTTAATAACGACGACATGTAATAATTTTTATAAAAATCAAAAATTGTAGTATGTTTTGGATTTACTATTTTACTTCCCTATACCTACAACATTATAAGGGAAATAGTGTATTTTTTCATAACATAAAAATGTACGTTTTGGATGCATTTGTGCAAATAGTCGTTTTGGTATAGTTGATAAAGTTGGCGCCTAATATTTGAACATGGACAACTGTACCTACGTCTCGGCTTAAAATTGAAAAAAATACTTTTCATTATCTAAATACTATTTAGTTTTATGTTTGGAAAAGGTTAGGTCTGAATTAACCATCTATCTTGAATGGCGGGTTTGACTGGGAATTAGCACCTATATGTTTTGGTCTATTCTGAAGACATATTCGTAATCGATTTGAATTTATCGACGTATTTGTTTAATAAGAATTGATATCTAACTAGATTTTGAAAATTTTGGAACGTAACGCGTATTACTTTTGCTGACATAATATATTATTTCTGATAAAAATTAACCTAATAATTTCGCTTTTTCTGAACGAATACTGCACCGTATTCAATAGTCGCCACACCATACAATGCGTTATCGCTTCCGCTTGTGACTCAATTACTTTGCGTTGAAATGCCTTAAAAATTAAGTTTGAATGAAACAAAAATTTGCCATCGGGCCAACGCATCTAATGGATACGCAACTCACGGGCCGGTGTTTAATGGATACACATCTAAGATCTAACAAACACATTTTTGCTAAACGACTACCGGACGTGGAAAATAATCTCTTCTTGAAATTAATTTTTTGCGCACGGGGCAATTGGTAATATACTTACCTAGATGTGAGATAAAAGAAAAGAAATGAACGATCCAAACTTACACAGAACGTTACAATGTAATCCGTTTCAAACCCATAGTGACAACAACATAAGGATACAATTTTGAAAAAAGACCCAGTTGGATTTTATATTGTATAATTTCTCACAGGGTTCTATGAATATAATATTTAGGTACCCCGTTTTTCTCCTTATCACTTTAAATCACCATCAACTAAAATTAGTAATAATTTATTATATTAGAATTATAAATTTACTTGACTAATTACTTCCTATTAGTTTTTATAATACACACACCTAGTATAATATTATAAGCGGGGTGATCAATACCAATATCAATATCAATATCAATATCAATATCCCCATGAAATATGGCTCAAACATGAGTATCACCATGTTTATAACAAAATAGTGTGAGCCATTGTCCAGTGTCCACTCTCATTTCAACTCTAGTTTCTATTCAACTCATCCTATCATTTTTGTATTCATAGACAAATTGAAGGGTCCAGTGCAACAACCAGGTAAGTCCACATTTTCGAGAAATCGTTTTTGTGGTGGATTCAGAATGAGGAAAATATGCTACATATTTCGGTGTAATAAACGGATATGTCCAATTATTAGATACGGTGATATCATCAAAATGGACTCATCTGGTTTTAAAATGCAGTGCAACAATCTGATATGTCCGGACAAATATGGTTTTTGCACCGAAAATGATTTTATTGGATGTACTGAATATTTTAAAGCTAAACTACATGTTTCATTACAAATATATAATATTTACCACAAAATTATTAATGATTTAAAATATTTTTGCTTTTA